TTAAATCTGCTGCCACTGTCCAGGTGCACCCTGCCAGTTCCGCTGTCACCAGGGATAAGTCGACTGCCGAGTCTTTCTGTCTTGGGCATGGGTTAATTCGGGTCATCGAACCATCATTAAGCACAGTGAGCTGGTTGGCCTCAATGAATTCAACCAGGTTGTTGTGGGCTCGATCAGCCCTCATTTCTCCCCACAGTTCGTGGTGGCAGTTTAGGTCTCCCAGGATCATAGTGTTGGGGCTCAGTCTTTTTTTAAGTTCTTCCAGGTCGGTCTCTTCTATTTTCCCGGCCGGGCTGTATACGTTAATGACAGTGAGGTGTCGGTTTTGTACTGCTATTTTAACGCACACAGCCTCGAGGTTGTCGGTCGAGAAAACATCATGATCGATCAGAGTCCAGTTGCTGTTTATGCGTATCGCGACTCCGCCTCCCGCCTTATTAGCTTGCCTGTCGTTTCTGATGACGTTGAATCCCGGACATTTGAAGGGATCGTTACTTTTTAGCAGTGTTTCCTGCAGGGCATAAAGGGTGTTCTGGTTCCCCAGTGTTTGCATCACACCTGGTAGGTTTGCCTTTATGCCTCTGCAGTTCCACTGCAGTATCTGTAGTGTGTTCTCCATTTCTGGTGTGTTTGTCTACGGGTTTGGTCATCGCTATTTACAGGATGTTGTCGGAAGGATCGCAGTCAGCTGGCGGGAGGGTAACGGAGTGGTCGGAGTCGTCTTGCTCATGTTCTGCTTCTGACTCCTCCCGGCCGTCGCTCTTGCTTTCGTCAGTTTCTTCTGACTCCGCACTGTCGTAATGCTTGTTAATAGCCTTCTCAACAAGTGTTTTGGCGAGTTTGCTCATCTGTGTCTCGACCTCCTTTTGTTGCTGCTTCCACCAATCGGTCTCTTGTATATTGGCCGGTTGTTTATTATTGATTGTTTTTATTGTTTGTAGTTCGGTTCTGGTAATACTGTGGGCCCCATACAGTGATTCGAGTTTCTCGGAGTGGTAGAGGACATCTTTGGAGATTGTGTCTAGCTGGCGCTGGAGGAGGGCTATTCGCTCTTCTGCCAGTTTCTCTCCTTTGATGCGTTCGGATCTTTCAGCCTCGTAAGCTGCTTTTAGCGCTTTGTATTTGCTAGCAAGATCCTGTGCTTCGTCCGAGTTTGGTTTACTAGCGGGCGGGTCACTTTTGTTGACTGGCTTGTCTGCGTTTTTGTTAGTTGATGAGGCGGCTATGCCGGCTAACAGGATCCTGAGGTCTGACTGTGTCTCGGTCAGGTCCTTGGTTGTGGCTATTTTTTTCTTGGCTACCTGTAGTGGTACGTTGGTTAGGGTTGCCTCCCTTAGTACCAGCTGGGCTTCCTTCCATTTCGGGCACCCTTTGTACCGCGCGCTGTGGTTGCCGCCGCAGTTAACGCACTTTTTCTGTGGGTTTGCTGCTTGGTGGTTTGCAGCTGCCTTTGCTCTGGTGCATTGGCGGACCCAGTGGTTCTCACTGCAAAAACTGCAGCGGGCCCCATTTCGGCATTGGTCTTGTTCGTGGCCGAACCGTAAACATTTTTGGCATTGCTTTACAGTGGGCACGAACCTCTCGAAAGTATTTCTCTTTTCCCTGGAGAACTATTTTTGTGGGTTTATTTGTCCCTTTGATTGATAGTTTCACCAGGGACATGGGCTCACCCGACGCCTTAGTCAGTCGTTTGATTTCGATGAACGTGAGAGTCGGGTTTTCCCTCTTTAGATTGTCGATTATTTTGTTGATGTTCTTTTTCGGATGGATGCCCTTTACTACTATGTCCACCTTCTCTGGAATTTCCTCCAGTTGTATCTCGATGTTACCATTCAGGGTGAGCTTGTGTGGTTCGTTAGTTTCTGTGAGTGTTTTGACCAACTCTTTGTTGTGGGTTGAGTGGTTCATTACTACTACTAGTTCCTTGTGTTGCCTGCTCACCCTGGCGATCGTTTTTCTGCCTATTTTTCCTTCAAGCGCGGCCTCCTGCTCTTTTAGGTTCAGACTGAAGAGTGACGCTTCTTTGAAACTTAGCTGCGTCACCTTCACTTTAATCACCTTCACTTTAATTGTTCTCGGTAAGAGGACTTCTTTTTCACCCTTTTCGGCTATTCTTGGTAGTGGTGCGGTCGAGTTTTCCAGCCTAGTGTGGTGTTTGGCCTGGGTCTTGCTGGTCATCTTGTGTGGTTCGACTGGTGCAGCTGCACTGGGGAGTGTAACTGGCTCTAGTGCGCCTGCCGGGTTGAGGCCGGCTGGCTGCCCGGGTGGGGGCGTGGGTGCCCTCCCGGCTGCTTTGTCCGCGTATGTCGGCGCCGAAACTGGTGTCGCGGGTGCCTTTGGGCTCTCGTCCATTGGGGTGGTTACATCAGTTTTGGCTTTGCGGATAGGCGCTGTCGCCGCGCTGGTAGCGGGTTTCCCCTTAACTGGGCGGCTTTTTAAGCTTCCTTTTGACGGGTTGTTGTCGCCCGACTTCGGTTCTTGAGAGCGAGCTCTCGTCGTTACCATATTGTCCGGTTTAGAGTTTATGTTGGCTAAGCCCTAATCAAGGATTTGAAGTGTTTTTAGTAGTAGACTATACTCACAAATCTTGATCCGGGCTCTGCTGACTTCTTGGTGGCTGCGTCGTCTTTTGAACGGTCTGAGCTTTCGCAAAAAGCTTGTCCTCTGCTAAGCAACAAGCCTGGTTAGGAGGACCACTTTAAAAGTAGACCTCCCAGGGTGTTCAAAGCAGTACACAAGGCTTAGTGCTGGGACAACGGACTTTTAGTCAGCGTATCAACTCAAGATTTGGGACCACTACAGCTTTCAGACCTGGCAGATCAAGCCGAGCAAAGCAGCGATCAACACCAGTGTCTGAGGAAACCTGTGACCCTCCTCTCAAGCGACCGCTGAGCTAAATCTGAGGCAACGTATCAGTAGCTAGTAGATTAGAGTGAGGCTACTACCTCTCACTTCGGCTCTGGTAGCGGGTAGTTTTAAGTGAGGCTACTACCTCTCACTATTATTCGGGCTGAAACGACTGACTGACTGACTGACTTTTAGTCAGCGTGTCGACTCGAGATTTGAAAACACTACAGTTTTCAGGTCTAGCAGATCAAGCCGAACAAGCAGCGATCCATACTAGTACCTGAGGTAACCTGTGATTCTCCTCCCAAGCGCACGCTGAACTAAAATCGAGGCGACGAACCCACTCGATAATAACAGGCACTTCCTGGGAGCCTAAAAAGTCTGGCTCTATTTGGATTTGAACCCATCTGGCTCCAATCGGATTTGAACCCAAGACTTTTTGATCTGCAGGTGAGTGTCTAACCACTCCACCATACAGGCTTCCCATTTAGTTAAGTACTGCAATAATAAATCCTTTAAAAGCCATTGAATGATGACAGTTCCAGATTAGCTATGTTTTCTGCACTCTTGGGGTTAAATGTATTATGTCGATCAACCCCACTAGGATCGTATAACGAGCGATCAACACCTGGTGACACAAGGTGCCACCATTCGGATAAGGATCACACGGGCATAAATCCCAGCAACCCCGTTAGGTTATATTAGGGCCCCGGTCTAAAGCCAGGGTGGGGCTTTAAAAATAACAAAAATATTTGTCCTATTTTAGGATATACATACAAGGTGGCTGCGTGGTCTCGAGGCATAGTGTCCGCCTCGAGTGCTATAAGTTCCGGGTTTAATCCCCAGTAAGAGCTGGGATTTTTTCAGGTGGCCTTGGACCTAGTAATTCTCCCTGGTTTCTGGGTAGTGAGATCAGACACCCATGTGCATTGCTGTGCACGTAAATAATCCCTTTGCAGTTGAAAATAGAAAAGAGTAGCCAAACAGCGCTGCCTGGGCAAAATTTGGAGTAAAAAAATCTACCCAAAGTATTTCAGGATCCTCACCGGTGCTACAGAGCTTGTGTACTGTGCTGAGCTTCTTCAGACTCAGACTTGAGTTAGAAGAAGAACGAAGCCCTAATGGGTTACTACCCGTGTGCCATATTCTTGAACCGTTGTTCAAATCTCAAACCTGGGATGTGAGTAATGGTGGTAAGTTGATGCCTTGCCTGTTACCAAGGCCCTCTGGGAGTGAGCAAAGAAGGTAAAGGCACAAACAGATTATCGTGGTCTGGAGAGGGACCAGGAAATCTGACAGCCACTCAAGGGAAGGGCAAGACTGACCTGTGGCCAGATTGTTGCTGGTACCATCGGTACTGGAACTCAGCACATTTTCCTAAAGGGATTAGAGCGCTTCTGGGGAACGTCTTCAGTGCTCTAATATTGGGTCTTAATTCCATGCCAGCCACTTGAACCATTCTAATTTGTGTCTTTCATATAATTATTTAGTATTCTAGGGACTTAATTTAATGTGTAATTTACTTACTGTCTCACATGGGTCCTAATGTGGCAGTTCAAAATTCCCAATGTCTTTAAACCTCTCTTGCTCAAGCCTTGAGGTGGACCATATTCTCCCCAGTAATTCAGTGGAAGTTTGGGGATTTAACTTATAAATTTGATAATAAGGTCCCTTTATATGGCAAGGATGCCTTGGGCATATGAGGCTAGAGTAATATTTTTTAATAGACCTTGATGGGTGATGTTGTCAACATCACATTGGCCACCTTCACTTCCCAGGACTTTACCTGGTACTCATTACAGGCTAAGTTGACCTGGGAGCCAAAGTCGTGTTTGAAAAAAAAATGCAGCGCCATGCAGATTTGAACCCACGACCTTTATATCCACAGGTGAATTGCCTGGCCACTACATCATGGCAGCTCCCATAAATTTGATAGTGCGTCTTTAATACCGGGCACAGCATGAGATAATTACTGACAGCATATGTTTCTAAGTACCATGCAAGATATACAGATACTGATAAAGTCAGCACCCATATTTACATGTAATTAATTTAGAAGAAGAGTGGATAAGTACTTTCTTCTTTTGTTGAAACTGTCCTTTAACCTGCTTTTCTGCATGACACAGGTGCCATCTGTAATTGTTATCATCACCATGGCGTTCCTGAAACTGATCTTTCCGTTTGCCTCTCAGTATCTCGTAGAGAACTCTCCAGCTGGGGAAACAACAAAAGCAAACATATCACAAGCACTCGAGGTGCTAGACTTGCCAGCGAATGATAAAGTGGTCATTGTTGGACCAGACAGAGTGTAAGTCTTCTTTGTTTGGTGAGCATATTCTAGCTACACTGTCTGGCATTTAGGTATCATTGACATGTAGTGTTTGTTGTTGGACCAGACAGAGTGTAAGTCTTCTTTGTTTGGTTAGCATATTCTAGCTACACTGTCTGGCATTTAGGTATCTCCGACATGTAGTGTTTGTTGTTGGACCAGACAGAGTGTAAGGCTTCTTTGTTTGGTGAGAATATTCTAGCTACACTGTCTGGCATTTAGGTATCTTCAGCATGTAGTGTTTGTTGTTTGACCTGACAAAGGGTATGATTTCATTGTTTGGTAAATCACATTGTACCTACACTGTTTGGCATTTGAGTGAGATTTCAAAGACTCTGGTTAAACAACTGTAGTAGCACAATGACTAGCATGCTCACTTACCGGCACAGTGTTCATGTGTTCAGATCTCCCTGAAAAAAGGGGGGGGGGGGTTGATCTTAACTCTGAGTCCCAGGGGTTTAGCATCACAGATTCAATGGGTAGTTTAGAGAGACCTAAAATTGGCGCATCTCGTGTTCATTGGGCTTCTAGGTAGGAATCTATGAACGTATGATACCTTCCTTGGGACTCAAAGAGGTAATGTATCTCGACTTGTAACAATAAATTGGTACCATCAAATCTTTTGGAAAGTAAAGGCAATCACTGATATTGACAACATGATGTTTCTTCTTAGTTTTCACCAGCTGTAAATTCCAGCAGAAAATTCTGAATGTCCATCCACTTCTGAACTCAAGTCTCGTTCCAGTAGTTAAATTTTGCATCAACATCCTTTTACAGATCTGGCTTATTTGTATGCAGACTGTTGGTTCTCTCAGACAGATGGACTTTTGCTCAGAGCAGATACCCCTAATAATCACCCTTTACGATATAGTTGCAGTGTTTTCCCCACAATGGGACCCCAGAACCCACATGGGAAAGATATGAGTTCAAGCATATGATAACTGCCGGGGATAGACTAATTGTTTTCTTACAACAGAAATTTGCCATATCCAAGTTTGTTTTAACTCTTTCAGTCCCAACCAATATACAGTGTATGATCAGCTATAATCAGTGTATATCAAATAACGACCAGTGTGTAGTTATATATTTTACATTTGGTTTGAGTATGGTAAAGAAATCTGACTAGATATTCTAACATACAGCATATTTTGTGTTGTCTCTTTGAAACTAATACACTGATTCTCTTTTCATTACGTCTCTTATCTCCTTAAGTGTTTGAAACTAAATCTCCTGGTACTGGAAGAGTTAAGTGATCTGCACCGTACTATTCATTGTATAGTTACACAACTGACTGTAGCTGCAGGTAGTTTCCTATACCCTTCTGAAGACTGTGTTTACTTGCAGGGAGAAAACATCCCTAGTATTTCAAGCAGCAGTAAGCTCCGCAGCTTCAGGCATCAAGACAGCATACATATGCACTCACCCACTGCGGCGGCTTCCCACTTCCATCCACGGCATGGTGGCACCAGAACCCAGTGTCATGAAAAATGTGGACTTTATGTAAGTCTCTTGGGTGATTGTAAAAATACAGTAACTATTCTTTTACATATTATTAATCATCATCATCAACCAAGTGCCTTGCTAATCTCCCTATACCTGGCGATCTCCATCTGACTGCTTCCATTGATATGCTGATGTTTTACTGTGTCCGCAGGCTGTGAAAAAGCTTCTTTCACTCTCTTTCTCCATATTTGTATATTATTTTGTCAATATATTCATTGTTACAGTATGTTTATTGTTTTCTTCTGGTTTCATAACAGACTTTTTGTTTCCAGTATATGAAAGCATACTTTTTTTCTATATATATTGGTTCCAATACTTTATAAATGACTTTAAGTACTTACATAGTCTCCAATATTTAATAATAGACTAAGTTTTCTCGTCATCTCTCATATTTGCTAACAAACTTTATTTCTGTGCGTGAATCGAGGTTTTATATCAGACTTTTAGTTCTTATATGTACTTCAATAATTAATAGCAGACTTTGTGTCTTTTGCTGCCCCTGGCAAAAGCCAGAGTAGGGCTTCAAATAACGAAAAATTTCATCCTAAAAAGGACGAGAAGTAAGCACTTGATACAAATTGCCTGTTCACTGTTTACAGATATCTGGAAGAAGCCAGTGAGCTGATTGGCTGGTTTGCTGGAGCTCACACAAGGACAAACTTCCCTGGCTGTATTATAGTTGAAGATATACTGACATATGCCTCCCAGCTCTGTGTAAGAGGCATCTGTGTGTATTTCTGTTTCCTGTGCAGTTTAAGGTTGAAACTTTAGCTGTCTTTTCTTTCTGTTGTTTATTTTTATTGACCCCACCCCCCATTGTTTGTGTTTAATTATCTTGATAATGTTATAACCCTCATAGACCAGGGCTCAATTCAAAACTATCCTTCAGATGTGGTCTGAACTCTGTTCTCGTCCACTTCTTCTTGTTCAGCTCATGTCCTGTGCTCCTTCAGGCTAAATCTTGACTAGCTCTTTCTCCTCATAATTTCTGAGCTTTACGTTTCACAAGCACTAGCCCCCTTAACTGGTTACTTTTTCTTTCTGAAATTTATATTCATATGCTAAAGTAATATTCTCACAATCTTGATATCACTGAGTCTCTCTCTCTCTCTCCCTCCCCCTCTCTCTCTCTCCCTCTCTCTTATTTATAAATATTTAGGTGGGCGAGCTAACAAGCAGGCTGATAGACTGGCTGCTGCCGCTCCTCTGAGCGGTGAGCAACTATATGATAAAGCAGATGAGGTGAAGGCTCTATGGGATGGACAGTTCAAAAGAACAGATAGGGAATCCATAAACTGAAAGACTAATTTAAGATATATATGACACATAACAGTGATGAAAGACATAAGAAGAGAAGACCTTTTTTTTTTAAACCAAATTACAGAACAACAGTTTAAATCTGGTTATATTTATGTGTATAATTTTTTTTTATCAGGACAGAAATTTAGAGAGAAGTCTGGCAAAATTGTGTGCAATCATTACTGACTCTGTGGCCTGGATTGCATCTCACACGTAAGTAATTATTTCTGTTCTCATTTCACATTTTTATACTGCATGTCTTCTTTTTCTGCCTTTCATGACTCAGAGTATCATAGGCCCTCAATCAACTAATGGCAAACCTTTTGTTAACTGGATGTTGCAGTTCACATTTACAGAATTACCTGTAAAGTTAAAGTCGGGAGATGTGAACCAACGTCATTGCACACGGTTATAAACCATAAGTGCTCTGCCACCAGTACGGACAGCTAAAAGAATTGTCCACCTGTATCGCCGTTCGCACATAACTCTGTAGCTACAGCGACATTCCTCCATTTACCCCAGAGTGTCATCTCTGGTACCCATTTCCTAGAGGCTTGGTGAACCCCGAGAGCCGCCCGGTTTCGAACACCAACCGTGGCTGCAGCGACGGGCAGCTGAATTTGAAAGCGAGCCTCTTATCGACTGCGCAAACGCAGCTGTATGGGTTCCAGGGCTCCATTCGGGAGAAAAACAGCCAGCCCAAATGCCCCCTCCCCTTTTGACCATGTAGTAGGAGGTGACTAATTGGGGCTGTTTTCCTCAAACTTGGAGTGCATCTGCCTGATAGACAAGGAACCAGCAGTCTGCATACAGATAATCCAGATATGTAAAATGGATGTGTATACAAAAGTCAAGTTCTGGATCAAGTTCAAAGTCCAGGGGTGGACGAACAACCAGAATTTTCTGCCAGAATTTACTGCTGGTGAATAAGAAGGAGAAGTTATATGGAATGTCACCAACTCCTCTTAGTCACCTTATATGGCTTTATCCTGTTCATATTGCTGCTGACACAAAGGCCTGGTTTGTGGCTGTCAGAGCTGGAGGTGCAAAGTTTGTGCTGCCTGTGTTGTTTCGATAGATCAATCAATTTGCTCCCTCAAGACTGCTACTTCAGGTGTACCACATCATCCTGAAATGACAAAATTTCAGCTTGTATAGTAGATCTCAGATACCCCTGTTCCTGGGAAGGCTAACCCAATCAAAAAATGCCTCCAGAAGTCAAATGTGTTGGCCATAATACCGCAACTATGCTGTAAACAGGCACAACACAATTACATCGACAGATAAACGCAAAAGAAGAAGATGAAGTAACCTGTAGTCCTGTGTGGCTTAGAACATGTATAATGCTGACTGACTGACTTTCTACCCCACCAGGACATCACACAAGCAATAAACACCCGATGACACAAAGTGCCACCATGTGGATGAGGATCGCAGTGGAGAGGTTCCAGAAACCGCATTCAGACAATTGGCCATATTTATGGCCTGCCTAAATTGCGGCCCCAGCAAAAGCCAGGGTGGGGCTTCGAATAACAAAAAATTTTGTCCTAAAAGGGACGAAACTGGATAGTTATAAACTTATAACAGCAATATGTATGTATAATGCTCTCACAAGGGGTTTTTTAAAGGCGGAGACCAAGTGAGACTAGGATCAGACCCAATGCAGTGAGGCTGATCCTCTCACTTTTGATTATCCGCACTACAATGATGCCAGTCTGGATGTGGTGAACAATTGTGTAATGAAGTTAAACTTTTGTTTTTTGTTTTTCAGAGAACTAAAGCGTTGTAATGTTTTGCTGACTGCACCTTCTAGGATTGCCTCCCTTTCAAATGTGTTGTCTTTGTTTCATTTCACAATAGCCACCTATGAAGGTAGGGGACATAATCTACTCTGAACTTATTTTAAGGCATGCTTAACCTAGAAATCTATAAGTGTAGGTAAAGCATTGATATCTGGCTTTGAGGTGTTTAGCAAGTAAAACCAGGCAGTTCTCAGTGCCTGTTTTCTTTTGTGTAGCAGAAAGTGGACAGATGTGGCATGAGTGGATACTGAGTAAGGACATTTCTCTCTTAAAATGGATATACTACAAATAGTGCAATATAAGCTGCCCTCCCAGCAGTGATACCCGTCACTTAATATATCCAATTTCGTCCTTTTTAGGACAAAATTTTTTGTCATTAGAAGCCCTACTCTGGCTTTTGCCAGGGGCCGCAATATAGGCAGGCCATATAAATGGCCAAATGTCTGAATGCGGTTTCTGGGACCTCTCCACGGCGATCCTCATCCACATGGTGGCACTTTGTGTCATCGGGTGTTTATCGCTTGTGTGATGTCCTGGTGGGGTAGAAATTCAGTTCAGTTCAGTGATTCCCGTCTGGTCCTTTTTAGAATGCAATTTTTTTTAAATTTGAAGCCTTACTCTGGCTCTTACCAGGGGCTGCAATATAGCCCGGCCATAAATATGGTCTAATGGCTGAACATGATTTCTGGGTCCTCTCCACAGTATCCTCACCCACGTGGTGGCACATTGTGTCATCGGGTGTTTATCTCTTGTGTGATGTCCTGGTGGGGTAGAAAGTCGTTCAGCCCTCCCAGCTATTAGTCATCACTCATCATCATCTTGTGAGATGCAATTTTTAGTTATTTTGAAGCCCCACCCTGGCTTTTGCCAGGAGCTCTAAATATGGGGTGATGGCTGAACGGGGTTTCCGGGACCTCTCCAGGGGTGATCCTCGTCTGCATGGTGGCACTTTGTATCACCTAGTGCTTATCACTTGTGTGATGTCCTGGTGGTATACAACTTACCTACCTACCTACCCTCCCGGCCATAGTTACTTTGTAACTGTTGGGGAACCAGTATAATCTTACTGTTAAACGGGTTTTCTGAGATTTGTACCTGGGGGATTCACAACCAAAAAGCGGATACTTTTCTTAATTGCTTAGTGTGCCGACCTAATCAGTTTCAGCTTCACTGAGTCATGTAATAACACCCACCCACATGAGACTACAGTGTAACACATTTGTTTGTGGTGCCCTAATATAACAGTGCTGTATAGCCATACCTTCCTTACTCAAGGGAAAGGTTTTTTGAGTTGAATGTGTTAATAAAATAGTATGCCTTTAAATTACCTTTTTTCTTGTTAAAATGTCTTGGATAATCAAGTCTTTAGTTCTGTAACTTGTCTGTGTTTTCAGGTCCAGGCAAGGGAATGGATTCTTTGCTAAGCTATGAAACAGACCAGTGTTCTGTCACTGTCAGATTCTGTCGTAAGAAAGATGTCATCTGCATGACGAGTGTTCACACATCGATGCTTAATAAATCATGACATTAAACTTTTTAATTTTTTTATTTGCTTTGTATCTGATTCATTGTCTTCTTATATATTTGATATGGCCAGCATTCAGTCCTGTCTGGATCAAAATGGATGGTGCAGCAGTTCTTTTGGTATAGCATACAAATCCATCAGTTATTGGGATGGAGGTATGCACATACATATCCTAAACCTGACGTCCCACAATGTGCCTATGACTTCGAGCAGAGGAGAACATTGGTGAGGAAGCTAGCTTTATTCTAGAAAGATGAAATGTAAAAAAAACTATGTTATGACAGGGCAGACTAGGTCCTTAACCTTGGCTGGCAGTTGGTCTAGGAGGAAAGCGCCAACAGGTGGACAGATAAAGTACTGCTCTTCTGATCTGGCAGCATTTCTGCTTTGTTCCAACTGTACTGGTGTTACTTTTCCTTTGGAATAAACAAGGCAGGCAGAGTGAGTGATCATGATGCATGGGTAACAGGTGGCCTCTTCAATACTTGCCCAGGCTTTGTGCTATACAGAGGAGGAACCATAATAATGCTTTCAGAAACAAATTGAGAAGCAGCAGTTGCCGGTTTTAAGTCCTAGTCAATTGAAAACTCTTGTCTGTCAGTCTTGTGTTCTCAACACTTTTCTTTACGGCAGTGAAACAGTCAACTTATTCGCACCAGGAGAAGTGGAAAGAAAGAAAAAAGTGTTTACGTGTGGTGCCTAAGAAGAATATTTGGCATTAAGTGGCAAGATCACAAACACTGAGGTATTGGAAAGAGCAATATCAAACAGTTTTCTCACTGCGCAGTATCTGAAAAAAATTAGGTGGCTGGGTCACGAATGGAGGATGGTAGAGTCCCTAAGGACATTCTCTATGACGAATTACAGATGGGTAGAAACTCTCGATGCTGGCAAGCCGGACATGAATGATACAGGTATTGAGTAAGATTTATGGAATAAAACGCCATGGACTGTTGAGTGGAGGGGAAAAAATAAAATAATAAAGGAAGGGGGGGGGGGGGGAATGATTGCAGACAAATGGAGAGCTAAGCATTTGAAAAGATGCAAACTAAGTACATATGATGGTTTCAGTGGTCCTGAAATCCCATGCTGTAATTTTGGAAGACTTTCCTTAACGTGGTGGGTCTTGCTAGTCGCCATTAACATCACCATGAACTGTCAGTTCTATGCCTTCCCGTAGCACGGGATAACAGTATCTAAAGATGGAAAGGTGTCAACAAAATTTCTGGAGGATACTCACATCCACAGTTTTTGTTTGTTAGAGGATACACATATTATCCAAAAGTTATTTTGTTGGATGATATGCAGTATCCAGAATTTCTTTTGCTGGAGGATACACATAATATTCATCAGTTATTTTGGTGGATGATATGCAATATCCATAATTACTTTTGGTGGCTACACACATAACCTTCATTTAGTGGAAGCATGCACACATACCCTTCATTTAGTGAAGCATACACACATACCCTTCATTTAGTGAAGCATACATACATACTCTTCATTTAGTGAAAGCATACACACATAACCTTCATTTAGTGGAAGCATACACACATAACCTTCATTTAGTGAAGCATACACACATACCCTTCATTTAGTGAAGCATACACACATAACCTTTATTTAGTGGAAGCATACACACATACCCTTCATTTAGTGAAGCATACACACATACACTTCATTTAGTGGAAGCATACACACATACCCTTCATTTAGTGGAAGCATACACACATTCCCTTCATTTAGTGGAAGCATACACACATACCCTTTATTTAGTGGAAGCATACACACATACCCTTCATTTATTGGAAGCATACACACATACTCTTCATTTAGTGGAAGCATACACACATAGCCTTCATTTAGTGGAAGCATACACACATACTCTTCATTTAGTGGAAGCATACACACATAGCCTTCATTTAGTGGAAGCATACACACATACCCTTCATTTAGTGAAAGCATACACACATACCCTTCATTTAGTGGAAGCATACACACATACCCTTCATTTAGTGAAGCATACACACATACCCTTCATTTAGTGGAAGCATACACACATATACCCTTCATTTAGTGGAAGCATACACACATACCCTTCATTTAGTGAAGCATACACACATACCCTTCATTTAGTGGAAGCATACACACATACCCTTCATTTAGTGAAGCATACACACATACCCTTCATTTAGTGAAGCATACACACATACCCTTCATTTAGTGGAAGCATACACACATATACCCTTCATTTAGTGGAAGCATACACACATACCCTTCATTTAGTGAAGCATACACACATACCCTTCATTTAGTGAAGCATACACACATACCCTTCATTTAGTGGAAGCATACACACATATACCCTTCATTTAGTGGAAGCATACACACATACCCTTCATTTAGTGAAGCATACACACATACCCTTCATGTGATGGATATTGCAGAAGCCACCATTTGTTGGCTATTATGGTTTTAGTAAGCAGTTCTAGGTTCAGTTGTTTGCCATCGTCTCCCGAATGGTCAGTGCTTGATATCCCTGTCAGAATCAATGCAAGGTAGTCTGCTGACAAAAAGCCCACAGCTTTAAACAGAGTACCTCAGAATAACAAAGCACCTGGGCATTTATATTAGATATCAGAGAGTGTGAATGAAAGTTGTTGACGGAATGTTTCCTCGCATCCAGATCCCCTATAATATAATCCCTCCTATATTAATGTTTGACAGGGCTCGAAATAAAATTATCTTGGGTAAATTTATTGGTCCCTGAGTTCAGAGAATGGAAGGAATTTCAATACAACCTGACAACTCAAATAATTAAATGAATATGATGAATTCCTGGAGAAAAAAAAAGAATAAATATCTATTCTTCTAGGCAAACTTGTGAATAAAAGTTGAACTTGTATGAATCAAAGAGTAAAACCCTTCATCAAGCAAGTAATTTAAACAGATACCAATTAACTTGATCAGATAGTTAGGTTATACTAAATAAACATATTTATTGAGACAACCCCACGCAGAATATCCCCTTTCGATTAATCAACAATTCAGTAAACATCCTCTAACACCGAAGCAGTCAAAATCAATTCCAAACATGCACTCAGCTTTAAGTTCTATCGGGTGGGTTACAGCATTCTTTGGATGAATCAGTACACCGTGTCTGCTGATTGGCAAAACAATATTACTTGCAACATCAGGAGCCCTGGCTTTCCTTGACGTACAGGCTGTTTAGTTCAATTCTGAATCTCAGTTCTTTTTGTTCAACAGTTTTGGTAATCTAGAGTGGGTACAGGCAACCTGGAAAATACATTAGTTGTCTTTGGGGTGAGCATTATGCTGACAGTTCTGAGGTGGGTAGAGGTGTTTGTGGTGTTATCAGAGCAGTTTGAGGAAAAGAGCCAGGTATTTCATACAATGTCTTTCTCCACCAGCATCAATAATTAACTTCCCCAACATTTTCTAATATTGTTGTATAGATACACAATTCTTTGCATTTTCGTAAGAAACTCGTCGTGATGTAGTGGACAAATGTTTGCATGTGGATCGGACAGTCGTGAATTCGAGTCCTGACAAGCCCAGGTCAGCTCCGCCTTGAATGGATACCATGTATAGTAATGGGAAGTAAAGGCGGCTGCCGTGATGTTGACCACTTCAACACACAAATACTGATTGATCCACAAAACATGTGTCCAACCCTAAATGCTGAGTACACCTGAGGGCGTGACAAAGGGTCTTTCACTTTTACTCAACTCATATACTTCGTGATATAAGAAATATAAACAGTGTATGGTATATACACTTGATGATCATGGTTTATGATGTGAGCTCCTTAAACAAAGATGGTATACCAAATGAGATTCCCAGAAAAGGTATCGAGGAGATAGAGGTGTCACTAATTAATATTCCTAACCTTAAATGGTAACCTAAGAAATCGCCCACTATGTAAGAACATGCAAGTAGTTAAGATTATACAACGGACAAGTATCACGGTTGAGAAAGTCACGAGATATTCATCTAGATAATCAAAGACTGGTGGTAACCCGATAAGGAATTTTAGGATACAGTCTAGGTTTACAGGGGATCTCGGCTGCTCCCCCTATTATAAATCTCACCTGAATTTACAATATTTTGATAAGTTTTCAGCACGGCCTTCTCTATTTATATATATATATATATATATATATATATATATATATAATATATTATATATATTATATATATATATATATATAGAGAGAGAGAGAGAAGGACCTGGTTTTTAGCCAAGCCGATGTGAAAGCTGGGACAGTCGTTTGGTGTAGCAACAAATGACTAGAACTAGGGTTTTGCATCCTAGTACAACGCAGACGTATATGTATCAATAGTGTCCCGTAACTTTTTTTATTTAAAGTGCGCAACTGTTTTAACCAGAAACGTGCAGTTAACTCTTGCAGGACTGAAATATTCCGTTGGTTTGTCACAAAGTACACATTACTTTTCATGGTATGAGGGAGAAGTGAGCATAGATACTTGAGCTACTGAAAGAGTGTGGAAGTTGTGTGGTGGGAGATTTTTTGATTCCACTGGTATGGCCACTCACGTGAGAGTGACCGCTGGTAGCCGCTGAAAGAGTTTAGGGCCTTGTTCGTGTTGTGTGACAGTTTTTTTTTTTTTTCATGGGTTTTATTCTGTGGGAAAGCCTGCATGGTCCAACTGAACTGTATATATTAAAAAATGGAGTTATGAATGCTTGCAGTGTAAATTTTCGTCAGAGGACGGAGTAAGTGTTGGGCTGTATTTGTAGAGTCAGCATTGTTGCATCTATGTGTCACGCTGGTTTGATTGCGGTAACTGTGTGTTAAAACCAGTGTGAGATGGGGATGTGTCAGGGGTGAGATGGGGATGTATCAGGGGATACTTCCAAGTGTGACAGTGTATGAGACGATGTTCATCATTATATTCACCAATTTGATGTGACTGCCTTAAGTCCTCAGATGGTGGGGTCTCTTGGATAGAGAGTC